TTTTTACGTAAAAAGAACTGCCACTACCGCATCCCGTCATCCGGCGCTCAAATACCGGTAAATAAACTGAGGAGGCGAGAGAGGAGGCGAGACTGACAGAAGCCATGAGTGATCCCTATTATCGATACGATGCCTCCGCAGACAGAGGTTCGTTCTTTTCCCTAGCTTTAATTCTCAAACTCTATTGCGCACCGTTAGCTAACAGTTAAACCTTAACATTCGAATTCTTTGTTTGTTTGCCGAGAAAATGTGAGAAAATAAAGTGAAAAGTGAGGTCTAAATGCTGCCAAGACTATTACGTCTTAATATCTAATTACTGATAGATGCTTTGCTTTGTCTATACAAAATCTTAATTCTTATGTATTACAAATTTGGTAGTACAGCTATAAGATGATTGCCTAGTTTATTCGTAATGTGATAGTCGATCTTTAAAGTTTTTAGATGATGAAAATCGCGTTTGTAATTTTAGAATTTCATTATTGTGTTATGTTTTACGTTTATTAAGCCAAACATTGGTGTCTAACTGTTTTCTCTAGTTACTGTCTGATGTTTAGGTTTCTTAATTGAATTTTGGATGCCTGATCCTAATGCTTTCAACGTTTCCTTCTGTTGAAGAATCGTATGTAGGTACTTCTCTTCATTTTCTGCTTGGTTGATTAGTTCACGTGTCAACAGTGTCATCTCTCCTTGTTCAATTACTTTGGAAAATTTCACCTTGTTTCTCAAGGTTGGTTGTGTAAAGATATGATGGACGGGTGGCTGAAATGATTGTAGCTCTGACGGAATGACTGAATTAACATTTGCTCATATTGAAGTTCTTGACTTTAGATGGATCCTATGAGTGCTTGGTGTTCCTTTGCCGAACCATTGCTTTCTTACTTTATGAACTTACGTTGGTTCAGTCTCACGTCAATGGTCCTTTGGTTATTGATATTTGCTACGCACATGTTGGTGCTTTATGATAGATGGTTTCTAGTCTTCACATCTGTCTTTGCACTATTATACTTTAGTGCCATGTCTTGGGAAGATTGCTGCTGTTATAATTAAGTTGATGAATAGTAGAATAACCTTGCATGAAAAAGATGTAGACAGCATATTACTGTTTTGATGTATGACATAGTTATCTTTCCTCTCCATCTTTTCCTGTTTCTAAATTGGTTTTAGCATAGATATTCCCATTGATAATCCTTTTGTAACAGGCAGTGTTGCAAGGTCTAGCTTTCCTGGCTACTTGACTCCTAAGGCACCCTCTTTGTTTCATCAACCTTTGGGCTCTAGTGATTTGCGAGTTGCTTCTGATTTTCCACAGAGAGAAGTAAAAATTTCACTGTAGACAGTTTTTAGTTATTCTACAATTGGTGTACGTAATGAGGGGATTTCTTTTCCTTTTGTGCTTTTACTTCCAGATAAGTGCAGTGCGGCCTTCGCCATATGGCTTGGATGAAACTGCAGGGATTGGAGTTCATCCTGAGCCTGTTATGGGTGCAATCACAGCAGGAGCTAGTGTAAAGGGCTACTCATCTCCACAAGATCCAAGTTTAATAGTTCAAAGACGGGAGTGTTGCACTAGGCATTGGTCCACCATTCCGGTAGGATTGAAATGCCCAATTCTTTGAGAAACGTTAATGGTCCCTGCTAATAAAAGGAGAATCAAACATTCTGTTTGTTGATGGACTCCCAACTGACTGTACCAGAAGAGAAGTAGCTCGTACTTTTTCCTATGTGTGCTTTTGTGCGTACATGTGTATGTATGTGTGCATTATCCTGTTGATGTGTGACATCTTGAGATGCCTGGTGCTTCTTTTAATTTCATGATGGTCATTGGATACTTTAGAAATGTGAAAAATCAGTACATATAATTGAGTTTCGAATCGAAAAATTTCCATCATCTTCAGGCATTGGCTCTGCTGCACCAGAATGAGATATGCCTTGTGACGTAATGAAAAAGTAATGAAATGTTCTTGAAAATCCATTAATCAATTGCTTGTTCTGTCTCCTGACATATAATCAAAAGATCTTTTCCGTCCCTTTATTGGCTATAGGGAAATCAAAGTTGTCACAAGGAGCCCAGACGTGTAAGTACAATAAACCTATTATACTTGTTTGGAGGCAGGGCTTACATTGTCAAACTGAGAGATTCCTTATTCATTTATGTCAAATAAGTTTCAAGTCTCAGTGCATAGGTTTATCTGGAGAATGACTGAGAATGTTTGTTCATCTAACGTCAGCAATTTTTTGGAGGATGGAATGATTAGTGACTCTGGTTTTGAGTGTCCGGAATCTTGATGGTGGTATAGTGTACCCTGTTTATAGCATCGTAATTAACTCAACTCAAGTTGACCTGAAAGCTATACACTGAAAATTTTACTCAACTATTTAGAGTAGTTATATGTATCTTTGTTGCTATGTTGCTCTATTTAGCCTCACTTATTCAATTACTTACAAGCTTTTGGATCTGTCCGATTTGTCTCAGGGAGTATGGGGGTGGTTAGGTCTTTAATGCCCATCCAAAGATAATATGAATTTTACAAAATTGATAAATATTAGATTCAACTAATGTGAAGATTTTACAATGCATATATGGTATACATTCAATGAATCAATTCTGGCCCATCAACTTGTCATCATTTTCTAGTTCTGATGCTCATATGATTACATTCTGTGCTATTTCTGTTAGATTTATGTTTTCAGAGTTCTGTAATTTTCTCAATAAATAAGTGTGTTACAGAGTGAGAGTGGAGATAAGGCTATGGTTTTTGCTTCGTGGAGTTCATGGACTCAAAGTGTGCTGTGACTGCTATGGAAGCTCTTAATGGTAGGGTAATACAAGAAATATTTTGATGTTTCTATCAAATATTTTTGGAAAATTCTTGAACTTCTCTTTACTTTCATTTAGGGACAATGGGAAAAGGATACTTCCATATGCAGTAAATTCATTGCTAGCATACTTTATATTTAATATAGTTCAGTGTTGATTATAACACAACACATTGCATTTACATTCTTTCAAAATTTCATGTTCGTTACATTATGGCAGCAGGTGTCAACTTTATTATTATCTTTTACTTGCATAGGCTTAAGATAAATAGTTTCTTTATTGGAAGAAAGAAACTACTCAATTGATATGCATGCTGAACTCTCGGCACTAATCTGTTATCAAGATTGATGCTTGAGGGTGTCAAATGATTAATCATTTTACTCGGGAATAGATCTCTGACAGTCTGTAATGTGGGTTTTCTCTACAGGTTACAAGTTTGATGATAAAAAACCTGAGTCCCCTACTTTGAGGATCCAATTTGCACAGTTCCCTTTCCGTCCATCTGATGGTGATGAGCAGCGGATTGGGATTCCACGGTGAGTACTTGTGCATGGTTGGACGACAATCCATCTAGTTGGTTTGGATTTGTTATGTTATAGAAACAGGCGTCCTCATTTTGAATTGTATAGTTTGAGCCATTCTGTGGTTTTGAGTAGCCATTCTCATATAAAATACGTTTGGGTGATTAAATAAGCTTGTACATTCCTATTGATGCTCCACCCTTAGGCATTGGTGGTTGCGTAAATTTATGTCATTTCTCCCAACAATGATGAAATGGACCTCATAAATTGAAAATGCCATTTATTTTTGACGTCCTAATTCCATCTTCAAATTTTTAATCCTTCCCTACTTTATCACATGTTTTTCCTCCTTGCCTTAATTCGTTAATAATGATGTTAAATAAAAAAAGATTTATAATCTTAAAATATTTAAAATTCACATTTGAATGCTAATTGTATGTGGCACATAAAAAATTGAAATCTTATAGTGTTTGGTTGCAAGAATATGATTGATATGAAGCCAGTCAAATGGTTGAAAATTGAAATGTTAAAATCATGCAAATGATTAAAAAATTCGTCTTCATCTAGAGAGAGAGAAGATAAGCCTAGGGTATGAAAATTGAAATCTTTAAAGCAGTTGAGTTATAAATATCTTGCATCATGGTTTCAATTAGAATAGAAATTGGATGAATTTGGGTATGAAAACAGAGGGTAGATTAGAGTAGCAGCACTTGATATTATTTCCATGACATTTTGTGTGGATTTTCCCAGAAGTTAAACGAATGTTCAGATTGGAAAATTCTGTGAGTTGTGATTTGTGAATGCTGCTGTGAGTTCCATATGTTTGAGAAAGGAGAATATTGATGATTTCACACTACACATCTGGAAAGGTGTCATTTTCATCATCCTTGCCTCTGTGAAATATAGGCATCTTTTCAGCATTAAGTTACATTAATATCGCACAAATTGCTTACTCATACCAAATATCTTATAGTTTCTTGGTAGATACAGTTGAAACAACATAAATAAACAAACAAAAACCAAGGGAAAGTGGACCTCCATGCAGTTTCATTTATCATATAATTAACAACAAATTTGCAGTGCCGGCAAACAGGGGTTAGTGACATTTTCAGAGTCTATGATGAGATGGTTGTTTACATTTTGTTATATGGTTTATGTTAAAAGTAGCAGTTAATATTAGTGTTTAAATAGAGAAGACATGATCCCCTACTTAAGCTAACTCTGATGATGATTGCCCATTTCATGTACTGCTTAATCAAACATATTGCATCATTTTTTCAGTTATGAGAAACCTATCGAAAATTAAATATCATTGTTACATGGTCATGAAGTGTGCTTGTTTAATTTTCAAACAGTGAGAAGGAACTTAAACCATATAATAATCCAACTCTTAGGTTTGGGAATTTGACCATTTTATAACAGCAAGATTCATGCCAATTTGAGTGTTGATGAGTCAAATAACAGAATAATATAAGTGCAAGAGGTATAAAGCAAAATGTTATGTCTGCAACACATAAAAACTTTCCTTCAAACAGATATACAAGAACATTAGTTTGTGTTTCTGGGATCATTGTCATATATGCAGCTAAATAATCACAGAATGATAATACATAACATTTCAACATTTGACATTAACACTTATAAACCATAGCAAAAGAAGATATCATAATGTTAAATTTCATTCATCTTTTTATTTCTTGTTGGAGTATGGAACCTAGGCTACATTGTTTGTCATCTTTGGGTATAAACTTAAAAGCTATGTAAGACTAGCAATGTTCATCAATTTGAAGGAGGGGCAAATATATATATGTAATGTTTAGATAGCCCCTTCATCAAATTAGGATGAATACACAACTATGATAATTCATTAACAAAAGAATCATATTCTCATCAAATGAACAAACACAACTCCATTCAACTATAAATATGCATTGCCTGCAAGGCCATGGTGCAAAAGATTATGAGCAATGGCATCTCTAGCCTTCATTGAGCTGGCTGACCTCAGAGGAACATCGGGGATCATCTCATCGTCAACAAGGTCAAATTTCAAGCTTCGATCCATCTCCTCATTGCTCATCTCACATATATTATGCAGCACACAACATGCCCCAAGAACCACTGGCAGGTCCTGCAATTTAATCTCTGTTCTTTTCTGCAAACAGCTCCACCTTCCTTTCAACCTCGCAAATGCATCCTTAGCAACCCTTTGAATCTCCCCGATTTTCTCATTGAAGGCATGTTGGGTCCATGTCAAATTCTGCTGTGTATAAGGTACCAACACCCAATCCAGTAAGGGATACCCTGAACCTCCAACAATCCACACTCCCTTCAAAAGACCCCCGCTTGCTCTTTGATACAAGGCAGACTTCTCCAACACCTGATCATCAGGCATCGAACCAGGCCAACCAATGCATACATCAGTAAAAACCCCTTTCGGATCCACAACACCTTGTACCGTAATCGAATACGAAGTCTTCTGATTCCTCTCAGTATGCCTCTTGTTGAAATAAGCTGCAACACTAATCTTAGGCGCTATAATAGGAATATGTGTGGTATACATAGAACCAACCGCATTTGGTATCCCGGACATGACTTCATACTCTTCTTTAATCTTCCTCAAACCCTCTTCATCCGGCCATTGTAAATACTTTGGCATTAACACACTCCTAATAGCTGTACAAACTTCAAGAACCAATTTATGACAAGTTGAAATGCCTAAACCAAACCTTTTTGACACGAGTCTAAGTGGCTCACCAGTGGCAAGTCGCCAGATACAAACGGCAACCCTTTGCCTCACAGGAATTGCATTCCGCAAAGTTGTATCTTCCTTGGCAATAACAGAATTCAGCTCTTCGCATATCATATCAAAAGTTTGCCTTCTCATTCTGAACCATTTCTTGAACTCCTCTTCTGGGTAATCAGGACTATTGCACTCATCCCACCAAGCCTTTGACCGGTCTTTGACCCACAAACGCCTGTGCTGGGCCGTGCCCGGCCCACCGCTTCCTTGCTTGACAGACTTTTGTAGATTATCTGATTCAGCAACGGCAGCGATGGTGGCAACGGAAGAGGCGAGAACGCGTGTCTTCTTTCTATTTATATGTTCAGTTTCTTCTGAATAGTAATCTTGAAGATCGGAGTAATACTCCAACATGGTTTTGGTCTTCTTCTTGTGATTTGTGTCGAAGAGTGATTTAGCTTCAGCAGAGGCTTTGTTCTGCTCTTCTTCAATGCCCTTCTCGTGTTCTTCCAACAATATCAATGAAGTAATAATACCCTTTAAGTCTTTCTTCTTCCCTCCTTCTTCTCCATCATCATCTTCGCGAAATGATTTCTTATCATGTTCAAACTCATCGCTTTTAACGCGATGATCTTTCTCATCTTTTCGCCTCCGTTTCCTGATACTATGAGTGGTTGCTGTGGTGGTGTCATTCATAATTCGAAGAAAAGTTGAAGATTGAAGCAAAAGATGAACTGTACATACAAATAGAAAAGAAGAGAAATGATGGGTTTGTTTGTTGGATTGAGAGAAGGGAGAGTTTGATATAAGGAATGAAAAAGGGGTAAAGAAAAATCAAGAAAGTCTATGAAATCGGGTTTTAACGGTGTGAACAAAGTGTGAACACAAAGATTTGGAATACGGAAATGGGGGAGGGAAAAGTTTGATAATAATAATAAAAAGAGGTCGATGAAGTTTCGTTTGTTTGGTTTGGCATAAATGTCAAGGAAAATGATATAAAAGTTCAAAGATCAAACATAGTTGAGTTCAATGGATAAGTGAAAAACAAACGTGTGTAGTGTGAACACGGCAGGTGCAGTACTTCTTTAATAATGGATGATGTGGGCTGGGGGTGGTGGGGGTAGGTGCTGTTGGACGGTGACTTTGATTACGCGGATGCATATGCATCTGTAGATGCGGATGGCATCTTTCATTTTTCTCAACTTCTTTTGGAATGTCTAAATCTCACTTACTACCCCTACTTCTCTTCAAAATTATTTTATTGCCGCTAGGTTAATAAACCACCCCTTTGTTGATCCTCGAGAAGGTGATGCTATGTGTTATATCTAAAAAAATCAGAGCTGGTGTTGATCTCTTTCAGCAAGAACCAATCAGAGTTTAGGAAGGTTTTATGCTATCCAAGAGCTACCACGTTGCTCAATAACAGAAAGAATATGACTGTCATTGACTTAACAGATTTATGTTTTATCTGTAAGTGATTGAGGACCGCACACTTATCCAAGCCCCAGATAATTTGAGGATACTTCTTAAGTTATCAGCTAATGGGAGGTAAGGAAAGACTTTCACGTCACCTACCCACTTGCAGATTTATAATCATTACCTTTAATTCATCTACTATAAATAGATGACTCCCCTTCTCATTTTCAGGATTCTGATACTGAACCCTCATTTTGATTGTAATATTTATTTTCAAAACAAAGATAACCTATAGGAAAGATACTGACTTGATATTCTCTCTGAATATTTATTCATTGTACCTCTATTCGTTGTTTGTTATACGCGATCTCTTGTAATCTCTCATATATAAAAGAAACAGTAGACGTAGGATTTGCTTTAAGCATCCGAACTACTTTAAAAATCATCTCTCTCATTTATTATTCAATTTTTGTATCTGATTATAATCATTTACATGTAATTTCTAAGTCCAGTATAACACTTTGCACGTGCGAATCGTTGATGTCAAAATCACGAATCAACACTATGTATTTCAATTATCCAAATTTTGGATCTCAACTTTGGATCTCAAGTGAGATTATATATATATATATATATATATATAAAGAGAGAGAGAGAGAGAGAGAGAGAGAGAGAAGTGTATGTTGGATTTGTCAAACTGCGTCACTTAGTTTGTGGGTCATATTGATAGAATTTTGCAACATTTCATTGAATTGTTTTAGAAATTTTGAATAAAGGTGAATGAGTTGTTCCAGCCGCCTAACGATAGTTGACTTGCTATTGACCAGTAGTTGACCGACGTGGGGTGCCCAACACCATTGCATTTCAATTTTTTTAAATGAGTAAAATGTTCCCACCCAAAGATTAGTGAAAATCCAAGTTCCCACCCCTGGTTTCATTTATTTCAGATACCCACCCTAAGTTAACATTGTTTAATGATTTTTGGGTTTTGACCCAATATGGAGAATGTTTTACCAAGCTGCCCTTACAGTAAATTACTTTTAACCCAATAGATTTAGATTTTTTCGGTAGTCACTAAGGAGGGGAAAATTGGGAGAAAAGGCTCAGATTCGGCCAAACTGGAGGCGAACGAGGCTGGGGGAAGGATGGATTTTGCGGGGATGAGTGGGGGAAGCTAGTGGTGGTGATGGTGATGTTAAACAACGTCGGAATTCGGCTAGATCTGGACTTTTTTGGCAACTACGAGGGAGGGAAAAATCGTGTGATAAAAGGCTTAGATTCGACCAAAATGGAGGTGGATGAGGGCTGGGGATGGTTGGGTTTTGTTGGGGATGAGTGGGGAGACTAGTGGTGGTAGCGGTGATGTCAAACGATGGCGGAATCCGACTTGGTCTTGATTTTCTAACAGCTGCAAGGGAAGGGAAAATCGAGGAGAAAAGGCTAGATCCAGCCAAAATGGAGGCAGACAAGGCTGGGGGATGGATGGGTTTTGTTGGGGATGAGTGGGGGAAGCTAGTGGTGGTGGCGATGATGTCAAACGACGCCAGAATCCGGCTAGATCTTGATTTATCCGGTAGCCACGAGGAAGGGGAAAATCGCGCGAGAGAAAAGGCTAGATCCGGCCAAAATGGAGGTCGATGAGGCTGGGGGATGGTGGGTTTTGTCAGGGATGAGTGGGGAAGCTAGTAGTGGTGGCGCTGATGTCAAATGGCACTGGAATCTAGCTAGGTCTGGATTTTTCTGGCGGCCACAAGGGAGGGGAGTAATGATGGGTGCTGTAAGAGAAATTTGAGATGTAAAGGGTTATTTTAAAATTTCATTTTTATTTAAGATTTAATGCGATTTAATTGACAACTTTACCCTTAACGTTACATTAAATGATTTTCTGTTAATTTAAGGGGTGAGAAAGTGGAATAAAAAAACTAGGGGTGGGAACTGGAATTTTGCTAATCTTTGGGTGGGAACATATTGTTTACTCTTTAAATTTATAAAAAAATATGAAATTTATTCAATGAATTAAATGTTTATTAAGTTTTTTTGTAATTTTGTTCAATTTAATTATGTGATGATAAATTATAGTGAGTGTTTCCTCGGGGTAATTAAACCTAACTTTATCACAACAATTGAGGATCTTATGATAGTTTCCAAAACATTGGGGGATTCGTAAGTCTGATATCTCAGGGTGTTCATTTTTTACCCGTAAAAGAACTGCCACTACCGCATCCCGTCATCCGGCGACCTCAAATACCGGTAAATAACTGAGGAGGCGAGAGAGAGGACGAGACGACAGAAGCCATGAGTGATCCTATTATCGATACGATGCCTCCGCAGACAGAGGTTCGTTTCTTTCCCTAGCTTTAATTTCCAAACTCTATTTGCGCACCGTATGACTAACAGTTAAACCTTAACATTCGAATTCTTGTTTGTTTGCCGAGAAAATGTGAGAAAATAAAGTGAAAAGTGAGGTCTAAATGCTGCCAAGACTATTACGTTAATATCTAATTACTTGATAGATGTATGCTTTGTCTATACAAAATTCTTAATTCTTATGTATTACAAATTTGGTAGTACAGCTATAAGATGATTGCCTAGTTTGTATTCGTATGTGATAGTCGATCTTTAAAGTTTTTAGATGATGAAAATCGCGTTTGTAATTTTAGAATTCATTATTGTTGTTAGTTTTACGTTTATTAAGCCAAACATTGGTGTCTAACTGTTTTCTCTAGTTACTGTCTGATGTTTAGGTTTCTTAATTGAATTTTGGATGCCTGATCCTAATGCTTTCAAACGTTTCCTTCCTGTTGAAGAATCGTATGTAGGTACTTCTCTTCATTTCTTTGCTGGTGATTAGTTCACTGTGTCAACAGTGTCATCTTCTCCTTTGTTCAATTTACTTTGGAAAATTTCACCTTGTTCTCAAGGTTGGTTGTGTAAAGATATGATGGACGGGTGGCTGAACTGATTGTAGCTCTGACTGGAATGACTGAATTAACATTTGCTCATATTGAATCTTGACTTTAGATGGATCCTATGAGTGCTTGGTGTTCCTTTGCCTGAACCATTGCTTTTCTTACTTTATGAACTTACGTTGGTTCAGTCTCACGTCAATGGTCCTTTGGTTATTTGATATTTTGCTACGCACATGTTGGTGCTTTATTGATAGATGGTTTCAGTCTTCACATCTGTCTTTGCACTATTTATACCTCTAGTGCCATGCTTGGGAAGATTGCTGTGTTATAATTAAGTTGATGAATAGTAGAATAACCTTGCATGAAAAAGATGTAGACAGCATATTACGTTTTGATGTATGACTAGTTATCTTCCTCTCCATCTTTTCCTGTTTCTAAATTGGTTTTAGCATAGATATTCCCATTGATAATCCTTTTGTAACAGGCAGTGTTGCAAGGTCTAGCTTTCCTGGCTACTTGACTCCTAAGGCACCCTCTTTGTTTCTCATCAAACTTTGGGCTCTAGTGATTTGCGAGTGCTTCTGATTTTCCACAGAGAGAAGTAAAAATTTCACTGTAGACAGTTTTAGTTATTCTACAATTGGGTACGTAATGAGGGGATTTCTTTTCTTTTGTGCTTTTACTTCCAGATAAGTGCAGTGCGGCCTTCGCCATATGGCTTGGATGAAACTGCAGGGATTGGAGTTCATCCGAGCCTGTTATGGGTGCAATCACAGCAGGAGCAGTGTAAAGGGCTACTCATCTCCTCCACAAGATCCAAGTTTAATAGTTCAAAGACGGGATGTTGCACAGGCATTGGTCCACTATTCCTGGTAGGATTGAAATGCCCAATTCTTTGAGAAACGTTAATGGTCCCTGCTAATAAAAGGAGAATCAAACATTCTGTTTGTTGATGGACTCCCAATGACTGTACCAGAGAAGAAAGTAGCTCGTACTTTTTCCTATGTGTGCTTTTGTGCGTACATGTGTATGTATGTGTGCATTATCCTGTTGATGTGTGACATCTTGAGATGCCTGGTGCTTCTTTTAATTTCATGATGGTCATTGGATACTTCTTAGAAATGTGAAAATCAGTACATATATAGAGTTTCGAATCGAAAAATTTCATCATCTTCAGGCATTGGCTCTGCTGCACCAGAATGAGATATGCCTTGTGACGTAATGAAAAAGTAATGAAATGTTCTTGAAAATCCATTAATCAATTGCTTGTTCTGTCTCCTTGACATATAATCAAAAGATCTTTTCCGTCCCTTTATTGGTATAGGGAAATCAAAGTTGTTCACAAGGAGCCCAGACGTGTAAGTACAATAAACTATTATACTTGTTTGGAGGCAGGGCTTACATTGTCAAACTGAGAGATTCCTTATTCATTTATGTCAAATATGTTTCAAGTCTCAGTGCATATGGTTATCTGGAGAATGACTGAGAATGTTATGTTCATCTAACGTCAGCAATTTTTGTGGAGGATGGAATGATTAGTGACTTGGTTTTGAGTGTCCGGAATCTTGATGGTGGTATGTGTACCCTCTGTTATAGCATCGTAATTAACTCAACTCAAG